GTCGGCCTGGAGCTGCCGCGGCCTCGGGGTCGGTGCCCAGCGAGCACGGACTGGCTCCGGTCCGGTGGTCAGATGACAGCCCGGGGACGGCCCTCGCGATTAATCGGAGAGAGACGTGGTATTTTGGACCCATAGCTGCAACTCTGCACGTTGTATTTGATTTGATGTTGGGATTCTCTGATTCCTGGCCTTTTTTTTTTTTTTTTCTTTTTTCTTTTGCTATGATGTCCTTTAGGACTTCATTCTGCCCTTGCTATAGATATGTTGCTACTCGCCCTATTAAACAGGATATATGTGACGGTGTATTAAAACAAGGGAGCAGTAGAATGAAGACGTCAAGAACATGGAAGCAGATGACAATAGCTGCAGGTGTAGCACTATATTCTAGTTGCATCTCATCTTTACAAGTATTTCCCAATTCCATGAAATAGTCCTCTCATACGAGCATATAGAGCAGAACTGTAGTTAAAGGATTTGTATTTATTTGTATTTAAAGTATTCTTTCTGCTCTCATTTTCTAACTTTTAAGTGGAAGCATAGTAGTGACATGAGCATGTGCCAGATTGAAGCAGAATATGCCTTTGTGAAATTGTTTTGGTGTTTACTACATTTGTAAATATTTTGTCAGATTTGTTCATGAAATATTGAAGAACTGGTGCTCTGTAGTTTAATTTCTGAGAGATTCACAGAACTGCCGCTAGCATTTCAGGGGTTCTGTTTTGAGCATCGATTGTAGGTTGAGGACAAGTTGTTCCACTTCAGACATGTCATCAAAGCAAACTGGGGCAGTTTGTGTGGAGGAAGAAAATGGAATGAAATTTTTTGGTTTTGGTGGCAAGACTTAGGCTTTCAAAGAGCTCAAACTAGTTTTCAAATTTACGGTTTTATCTGTTCTACCCTCATTACTTAACTGATTCCCTCAACACTCTTCCAGAGTATATGGGAAGTTATGCACACCCATTATCTTCATTTATCTGCTCCAACTCAGCCATTTAGGCAGAGGTACAGCAGGAGTCTTAACTTAACGTATGGTCTTGTGTGGGTTTCAGCCTTCTGTCTCACACACATGCTGCAACCACAGTTCCTTTTTTATTTTTCTGAATTCACAGAATTAGCATTTCTCTAAAGTTCATCCTTTGCTCATTTTGACCTTCATGTTCTCTGACCAGCTTTTCCCCAGTTTTTGGCCACATGGTTGTCCTGCGAAGGTGCTGTGAGTTCACTGGTTACTCTCCAGCTGTTTCAGTTGTCATACTCTCGAACTTTCTGTGGTGATGGCACTGTTACATCGGTGTTCATATCACAGGAGTGTACAGTCTGTCAGCTCTGTCATCTGACTGCCTTTTCACATAGAAGTTTTCACTTGCAAGCCAGCATCATTAGTTATAAGCTCTGGCTCTTCTTCTGATACCATGTTTTGCTTTTTAAAGCATGAATTTTCTCGGAAAATCCGCGTTGGACCATCAACGCATCTACTCAGGTGTTTTTCCCTCTTAGTGTGTTCATATTTTTTAAAAAAATGCATTTAATGTGGGATAGAGAACATAAAAGTTGCGATTTGCTCTATGGGGCTGGATATTGATATACATATCCCTGAAATTTTCCTCAAGACCTTTGCTATAAGATACTAGCAAAAGTATGTTATCAAAATACAACTCTTTTTACCCATTCAGTCCTTTAATATACTCTAGTTATCAATCCAGTTACAGAGTCTTCTCATTCTTTTTTCTGGGCATATTTGGTTTCTGTTCATCCTCAGAAGTAATTTTTTTGTGGCAAGTGGGTTTCAGTAGGAAATCTGAGGGGGATTGTGCAGGATACAAACATAAATGTTGGCAGCCCGTGTTTACCAAGGGCAGCTGGATAAAATAGATTAATGAAAGTGAGAAATGCTATGGGATAGATACAACTCAGGAAGTTGTATCTAGTAGTCCAAAGGCTCCTTCTCACTCCCTACTGAGAAAGTACATCAGTGTCTCGCCCTTTTAGGACTGTACTGTAATGTCAGGATTGCCATTTGAGCTCCAGTGACAGTGTAGGATGTGTGATGTGCCTTTGGGCTAGGAAATCTTGGAAATGACGCTTTCAGAATTTCAGATGACATTTTCCAGGGGAAGAAGCTTTGCTGCCACTACCAGTCAGCAATTCTGGTCCTTTTACTGCTCTAGCAGGCAGTGGGGGCTTGTTTGCCGCAAAGGTTTTGGTGGCTGTCAGAGTGCTGAGCCTCCTGGCCCGCTGATGGGTGACACTGCCCAGTTGCTAACTGTGATGGATGTGGTTCCTGCTTTGATTGGGTGACATTTGGTCTAGTGGTGAGCAATCCCAAATGCCATAGGTAATGCTTGGAACAGATGTCCAAAATATATTAACTTGCAGCTTGCATCAAAACATGTAGCAGTTCTACATGTAGTAGTGGGGGGTCTGGCATTACTGACCCATACAAGGCTCTTCTTTCTGTGCTGTCACAGTTACATGGAAGATCATAAAGACCTGTCTCAGATGTGCTATGGAGCATCTTTGGACTTAATCTGCACACCTGTGCTGTTCCTCACCCCCTTGCCTTGGAGAAGGCTGCTGTTGAGCTGGAAGTGCTAATTTTTCCTTGTATTCAGTGAGTGCTATGTCCTTTCAGTGTGACACAGTTTTTTCTTTGCATTAGCAACAGAAAATGGTATAACTTAAACTCGAAACTTTGACTACAAGTGGTGAGACAGCTGGAATTCAGAATACCTCAGATGAAGTGAAGGATTGAGGTAAATGTATTTGCCCCATCTTCCTTGAATTCAGGTGCTCACTGATGAAATAATTAACAATATTGGTTTCACAGTTAATGGACAGTCCTACTGGGAGAGTATTACCCATATCCAAAATAGTATCCGGTGATTATCTGTAGACTCACTTGGCTGTATTTCACAGGTTAAGTATGCTTAAATAAGCTGGTGTGTTTTTTGTCATTTTTATCTTGTTTGCGTTCTAGCAATGCAGCTGTAATCCTCCTAGTCAATCCAGAATCAGGAAAAGCATTGGAATAGGTATTACACAGATAAGAACAAAAATGTGGCACTCACTTGAAAGAGCTGGCTCCCTTATTATGGGAGGAGGGAAAAAGTGGATCGTGGCAGATAGAAGCAGTGATATGGTATTAGCCAGTAGAGCAGGTTATTTCTCTAACATAGGGGTGGTCTGGTTCATATTTCTTCAAAGCATCATGGTGAAAGTACAGCATGTGAAAACTCGTTAGGGTGGTACATTTCAAAATTTAGTAAGTGAACTATGTAGGCATTTTAGGAGGGACTCAACTTCCAAGTAAGAAGTGCAAGATAGTAAGATGGGAAAAGATGTTGTGAAGAGGAATGATTTTATTGGTTGGTTGGTTTTTTTTTTGGTTTGGTTTTGTTTCCCAAAGAAAAGTGATTTTTAGTTCATACTAGCCTTGTATCTTTTATTGGTCCTAGCTCTACTGAGTTACAGTAAAATGTAATTTAAAAAAAAATAGTTGTTTTAGGAAGTACATTCAGCTCTTGTAAGTATCTAAATGCATACTTTATAAAGAGAGTCAGTTTCTAAATGTAGGAATATTTATGCTGTTAAATATAGACTTTTTCAGGCATACCTTACATTTAAAATAGTCTAGGCATACCTTAGATTTAATTTAACAAATTCAGCACATTGATTTTTGGCACTTTGTCAAATTTGAAACTTTTAAAATTAGATAGGGCAGATCATTCTGCTGCTTTTGAAGTGGTTTGTCCTTTCTAGAATGGTGGAAATGAGCAGTTGTAGTGAGGAGGTTTTGATCTTAATCAGGTTTCTGTAGGCTGACTGACATTAGTAGGAGTCTTTTAAGAAGTAAAAAGTTAATAACAGAGAATAGCTAGTGATGATGATTACACTTCAAACTTTTGTATGTTGAGCTCAAAGAATCTGAACATGTTTATCAAGGACTAGTTCTTGGTTTTGTATGAAATGATTTTAAAAAGGAAGAGATTTAGCTTTTTCTAATGTGACTTTTTCTGTTTTTCGACTTTCCCCCATGAAACTGCATAATTTCTGCTTAAGATTTTTACTGTGTGCCTAATAGAGATCTGGATGGAGCTAGCATACCCTCTGAACTCAAAAATTGATGTCCTTTTAGTTGTCAGATTCATTAGTCAAATATCTTTGCACAGTGACTTGATTTTATGTATGCAAAAACTTTTTGATTTTGAAATGTTGATCATGTTAAAATTCTTAAGAAAGATGTTTTATCTGTGATGTTTTCTGTCCCTAAATGTACTGGAAAAGGGCAGATAGTATTGCATATATACCATGCTACTTGCATCATAGATCATATGGAGTAGCTCATTGCTCTTACCCTTCCAGCACACTTACACGCTTTTCAGTCGGGCACAAACACTGTCTGTCTAAGTCCTTGATATGCTCTGGCTTTTCCAAGAGCTCACAGGTCAGTAAACATTGTCTGATGGATCCCCCTCTATATGTGTGTTCATGAAAAGTAATTAATCTAATGGTCCATGTTGTCTTTTGCTCTGCCTGCTCTTAGTGAAAGGAGACTGAAAAGTGTCTGGGCTGTGCAGTGGGTTCCCAGACCTGCAGTGTGAATGCCAGCTTCTTATGCCAGTGTTCATTTCTAGTGCCCTGTTGATTATGCCTGGCTTGAAATGCCGTGTTTTCAGTCATTGTGGTATCAACTGACACTCTCTTTTCCACGTGTCCTGAAGGTCCCTAGAGTGTGGGTTCAGCAGTGGGCTGTGTGTGCCTCAGTCCGGATTGTGTCACCTGCTCTGCTTGCCACAGGCTTCACAGGTGGTAAAAACTTGCTTGTATTTCAGCTGGTTGGGCCTGTAATTATTTATCTGAGCTCTGAAAATGTAGTGATATGAACATGACTTTCATTGGGGTGAAGTCTGTGGTTTGGACAGTCTTACATAATCTGTCCAAAGAGATCAAAATTGTTATGCTGAAATGAACTTGTAGGTTGTTTATGTCAGTGTTGAATAACCTAAACACAACTATGTTCCTTTAGGGAGGACATTTTTGCTGCCTTTCCTATTGACTCTTTACATAATTTAGTGCAAAATATTAGAGTTTCTAACAGCAGCTGTGTCGGCCTTACTGTTTGATGTATGTCTCGATGAATCTTGTGCTCAGTTAAGCGGCAGTGCGACAAGTGGTGATGGGTAGTTTCACATGAAGCTTGGATATGTATGATAAGGTGCCAAGACAGAAATACACAGTTGAAGTTGTTGGAATCTTTTTGTGTTCTAGGGATGCCATGTGCCTGGCTGTTGATGGACGTTAGGTGTGCTAACATTTGTTCAACATAAATAGTCAAGGGCTGGAGTATTTAGATCTTTGTTACTGTATGAGCAGGAATTGTGAACCTGTGAAAGCAGCAAAGCTGAATTCAGTAGCCTCGTTCACTTGCATGTCTAAGCATTTGAAGCTTTATAACTGTAAGTATAGGAAAATTTTAAAGCTGTAATTTAAAAACATCATGATATTTAATATAGTATAAATTAATTTCTATGTAAATGTAGCATTCTGCAAAAAATGCATTGTATTTTGAAAAGTTGAGGAGCCATGAAGCCGTTGATGCAAAGAAGCAGAGAATAAAAGCTTCTTTTGTACTCTACAAAAATTTGACTTGTCCAATGCAAATCTATACCTTCATGCAGAAAACCTCCAGCACTAATAGTATGGGCAGCAGGTGCAGAGATGTCTGTCCAGATCCATAGGAACCTGGAACAGGACCTCTGAGGTAGGGATTGCTTGCTTCGCTTCAGTGCAGGCTCTTCAGACACCGCTGATGGTGGTGCTCTAGTATCAATATTGATGCCTGCTCTGCTGATTGGCTTAATGGATAAAAAAGGAGAGGGAATATTGAGTTCAATACACTATGTCTCTCAGAGCTTCGGTAATACAAAGGTTTAAATTCATATACAGAGAAGATTAAAAAAACCTAGGTAGGCTGACTTTCTAAACTTTTGCAAACTTAACTAATTGATGTGTAGTAATAATATACCTTTTGCTATTCCCAAATGTAGGGCATTTTAGAGTTTTCCTACACATAAATGCAGTAGCACAGTTGAAAGTGTTTGGTACTGGTGGCTCAGGTGACATTACTAGCCTGTTTGTGGTACACAACAAGACATCATTTTTTTCTAAACAGAATGGCTCACAGTTTGCAGTGTATGAATATTTGACTATCTTACATTCATATGCTTCACATATGAAAACAAAAATTTGTTTTTATGAAGCGCACTGTTAAAAGACAAACTGTAAACTAAGCCCCAGCAGCTGTTTGTGTGATGCACAGCTACACTCCTTTAGTGAATTCACATTTGGATTTTGATGAAATGACTGGTGTGCTGAAATCTCTGTGTATTTTTTTTTATGTTTAATGGCAAATATCTATGCTTTAATTCTGCTCCTTATAGGGCTCCTTGATTAATGACCCAAATTTCCTATGAGAGACTTCATCCTTACGGATTCTCTGATGTTTAATAGAGGGGTCAGCTTGCATTCCAGTTTGTCATCCCTCATAGGATAGGACACTTTAATCAGATTTGGAAGACTTTTTGTATTTACTTAGAGTGTTTGAAATTGTTCAAAAGCTTTTAGGGAATTTGCCAAGGGTAAGGGATGACTGTAACCTTTCCTAAGGGATATATTTTAAGGAAGAGAAGCTTTTATTTTGATGACACTTTTCTGGTAAGGTATGGTTGGAGCTCTGTAATAATTTGCTTTACAAAAACAAAAATAAAGGAAATCTTGGTATCTCAGATATTTAACAGCACTGTCTAGAAGTGTGTGTGTGTGTGTGTGTGTGTATCCTCTATTGCCACAGATACAATTCATAATGTCCTGTAGTGTAACTGATCTTTGGACATTCCTACTAGTTCATTCCTGACACATTCATAGTCCTTGTTACACAGTAGCTGACATTAGTCCAAGCCTAAAACTGTGTTAGTGAGGTTTGAATGTGTGATTTGATCTTGTGCTTTTAGAGTTCAAACACATTGCATTTGGTGAAGCATTTACATAGCAATAAAAATAAAGCAACATCTGTCTCTCTTTCCTAGGAAGTAACAGATGCGGGTGAAAGATCCATCAAGAACGAACTCCGAGAAGCCAAAGAGAAGCAAGAGGCCTAACAGGCCACAGGATGAGGACTCTTCAGATGATATTTCAGGTAAGTACATTAGGTGATTTTTGTCCCTGAGGTTGAGGGCTAATAAATTCCATATTGACTGATGAAAACCACAAAAAAAAAGTACCATGAAATACTTGTCTTGTTTGAATGTTTAACAAAATATCCCCACTCAGTTGTTTATGACATGATCATTTCTTGTGCTACATGCCTACCCTGAAGGGCTGGAGAGTTGGTTGATCTTCGATGACAACCTCTTCAAAGCAGAACAGTCCTTTCCTCTCCCTGTAAGGTCATGGACATGTGGCAGGAGGCTGCTTGGCTGAGTGGGGAGCTTCCAGATGAACTCAGAGGAAAAAAAAGAAGGGCAGAGAGGGTGATGACATGTTTGGGCTGCCCTTGCAGAGGTTCAGAGTGTGCAGGATTAGGAATTAGGTAGACCAACCTCAGTTAGAGTTGGACCTCATGAGGGGTATGAAGAGTAAGATGGGCCTGTATGGATACCATGACAGTAAAATGATAGTTAAGGTGAGTGCAAACCTGCTGCATGAGGGTTCAGAGGACCTAGGGACACAGGACATGGGAAAAGGCTGAGGAAATCAATTTTTACTTTATCTCTGTCTTCACATGTGAGTTCTTCACTTGATCCTCTCTGACTCCTGAGCCCAATGGCAGACTCTAATGTTGTCTAGAAAAGAAGATGGAGAACTGTTAAACAAACTGGATGTCCACAAGTCCATGGGATCAGATGGGATGCACCTCAAGGTGCTGAGAGAGCTGCATAATGCTATTATAAGGTTATACTTTGCATCCTTCATAGCAGTTGATATGCAGGAGCGCAGGTCTGCCATTCAGAGTGACTTAGACTGGCTGGAGAAATGGGCTGGCAGAAACTTGTTAGAGTTCAACAGAGGCAAGTGGAGAGTTTGGCACCTGGGCATAACCAGTTACAGGGTGGGAATTAATGGCTTGAAAGCAGCTTTGCCAAAAAGGTCCTGGGGGTCCTTTGCTGAATGCTGAATAAAACCAAGCTGTGCTGTTCATGCTGACTGTATGCGGGACTATATTAATTAGAGTACAGGGCAGGCAAGGTACATGATTCTTTCCATCTTTTCAGCACGGGTGAGACTTCATCTGGAGTACTGTGTCCAGCTGTGGGCTTCCTGTTACAAGAAAGACACTTACTTGTCAGAATGAGGCCAGTGGATCACCCTCATTGTTAAGGAGATTGAGAATATGATGTGGGAAGAGAGGCTAAAAGGAATGTCTTTGTTTAGCCAATGGAGTGAAAGTATAATTTCTTTCTCTGACTGCCTGATGGTAGTTACAGAGAAGGCAGAACTAGATTCTTCTAGGAAGTCCACAGTGAGAAGACTAAAGGCAACAGACAAAAGTTAGGCTATGGAAAATTTGACTAGGTGCGAGGAAATTTATTTTATTTTCACTCTGAGGGTGGTGAGACAGAAAACTGATTTTCTAGTGAGTTGGTAAAACCTCTATCCGTGAAGATATTCAACACTCAGCTGAACAAAGCCATGAACAAACAGATCAAATTAGTATTTGGCTCTGCTTTGAATGAGGGTTTGGACAAGATAGCCTTCAGAGGTTACTGCAAACCTACCTTATTCTGTGATATTATAGTGGAATTTGTGCAAAAAATATGAGAGAAGAATGGTTGATATTTGTGTTCAGAATGAGCAGTTGTACTAGGGATGCACGGGTATTTCCAAATCTTTCTTTATGGGTTGAAAAGAAGGTCAACTGCCTGTGTTACTGTGTACAAAAATAGATTTATATAGTGTTTTACTGTCAAAAACCAGGGAAATTAGATTTGTACAGAAGTAGTGCTTGTACTTTGGTACAAAGTAGTTTTCTGGTTTTAAGAGATGGCGTTTCTTGACTTGAAAAGAATTTTCATTACAGAAAGACTGAAATAGGTCCTTCATAAAATTTAGTATATGGGGAGCAGCTGGCTGATCTTTCCTATGCTAGTTCTTTGCTATTTTTTTTTCCTAATGCCGAATTCGTCAGAGATTATGCTCTTGTAGTATACACATGCTCCCTTTCATAGCTATTATTTTTAATGGATAAGGTGAGTATCTGTTGTTTTCTCTAGGCTTAACCTGCCAGCACGTGAGCCAAGCAGTGGATGTGCATCATGTGAAGAGAGCAGTGGCTCAGAGCGTCTGGTCCATATGTGCAGAATGTCTGAAGGAGAGGCGGATGAGTGATGGTGAACCCACAGCACCTTCAGACATATGGCTGTGTCTCAAGTGTGGCTTTCAGGTGAGCACATGTGCTAAATTTAGGTGGATTTTCTAAAGGATATGACTGGTGTGAGCCCTTGTCTGTTTGTCATCTCATTACCTTCAGTGAAACAGTGTGCCATAAGTGTTTAGTTGTGAGAGTCCATGCTTCAGCTTCTTCAGGGAAGTGGGATGTGACCTTATGTTCTTGTTTCGGTTTTTGGCAGTTTTGGGTTAGCTTTGTGTGTTACGGTGTGATTTGTCATCATGATTAGTAAGTGACAGTCCTGCCTTTTCTCTGTTCTTCATCTGCATGCTCTTACCATTTACAGAGAATTGGCACCAGGAATTGTGTGGCTGCAAAATGCTTCCATTCAGATGGCTCATCTGGGAGAAGTTCCCACGAATACAAATGAAAGAAAAACCAAATGTGTATATTGCTCAATCAGCTTGTACTGTGGACACTCAATTGCTAGATTTGTTTGAAACCAGGGCAAAAGGACTGTGCCAGAGTGAGAATGCTGCTTCCGTGGCAGCTAGTCATTAGATTGGAACAATTATAATGTCAAATCTTGGCCTCAGAGTTTAAAACAGCAGGTCCTGACCCCAGGGGCTTGCACAGGTTTCTTTCCTGTGTGTGAAGTAAAACCTGATACAGAAAAATTCAGTTTATGGGCAATGTCAGGTTTGGTTCAGCCAATAGTTGCCTGAACAAAGCATTTCACAATTTTCTTAGAATTTCAGTAGGTTTTCCTATAGTAAGGACAGAAGCCAGCTCCTCCCAGTATAATCTGAACAGATTTAATTTTGCAAAGAAACGTGCTATTCACAGGCTTCAGAAGATAGTTAACTAGGTCTGAGGAGGACTCCTGTATCTTGTTTGAAAATTTCTAGTTAAGGAGGGTTTTTAAAAGGAGTTAATTCTGTGTGATTCTTCATGTTCATGCTGTTAAAAGCTTCCAAAACTCATGTCTCATTCAGAGACCAGTCTTGGAAGTCCCACTCTGTAGATACTTGAAAAATTGCAAATGCTTTCTCTCAAAATTGCTGTATATAAGTAGTGTGTTCTGAGTAGCTTTTTAGTGCAAAACACTTTATCTACCTTTTTCATTTGCTGTCTGGAATGTATTTGGCATTCTTGAGCACTGAGGGTTACCTATGCTGTCCTTTCCTTGATATTCTGTGGGCCAAATAAGCTACATAATTGTTTCATTCACAACTTTTAGAGCATTCTTACTTTTGTGAATGGCATAATTTTCTATTGATACTTATTTAATACTTTTCCAAAAGCTAGGAATTATTTTTATTCAGTTAAAACAAAACTTAATAAATCTCTATGCTTTTATCTGATTTTTCCAAGTAGAAAAGATGAGGTTTTGGTTTTGTGTTGTCTTTGATTTTCCTTTATTAGTAAAGAAAGTTAATTGGTATCTTTATAACACTGGATTATAATAGATGTTAAATCCTTTCAATCCTTGGGAATGCTAAATGGGTAGGGCAGAATATCTTCTTGTCTAAATTTGAAAAGTGAAGTTTTTGTCATTTATTTACTAATAATATAGTGTTTTCCTTCTTCCCTTTTTTCCCCCCTTACTGTGTTGATGTTTCCATTTTTAGGGCTGTAGTAAGAATTCGGAAGGCCAGCATTCTCTGAAACACTTCCAAACAGCACGCGCAGAACCTCATTGCATCATTATCAACCTCAGCACATGGATCATATGGTGAGAATGGGCATGCAGGGGTTTGTGTAAGCTTGTGTATAAGGATACAGATAACTTAAAGGAGTGTCTTCTCATGATAAAGAATGATTCTGACAGATAAAATTAATACTTTTATAGAAGAAAGGGAGGCTTTCTGGAGAGAAAATTAGTTTGTCCTTTGAATTGTCTGATAATATTTAAATCTCTAAGTAAATTGGGACTGATCCATAGATGAGCATATACAAGATGAGGGAATTCAATTCTATCTCTCTTTTTAGTGTGCAAAATTGAAACCTAGATCTTAAGTAATTTTTGTAAGGTTGCTTGAGAGGCTTGTTAGAGCTGGGAGGTGCATGCAGATACTCTGAATTCCGGTTTGTTTCTTCTTTTGTTTAGGTGTTATGAATGTGATGAAGAGCTGTCAACACATTGCAACAAAAAGGTTCTGGCTCAGATAGTTGACTTTCTTCAAAAACATGGTGCCAGGGCTGAACCAAGTAAGTTTGCACAAAAAAGCTTTATCTGGAGACATCTGTAATGTACTGACTGAACATTTCAGATTTTGAGTCATGTTAAAAATACAACTAAAAAATTATGTATAATATGACTATAATGTAATTTGTAATTGCACAACTACTTGGGCAAGTAATGCCTGTCAAAACATAATGTCACTTTCTTGTACAGTTTGATTATATTTGAAAAATATTTTGGGCACTATAGGACAGTTCTTCCAAATTTTATCTGTAATGAAAAAGGTTTATAATAGAGAAGTTGTTGCCTTAAATATAATGCAATATAAAGTAATGCACAAAAAATATGTTGAAGCATACACTATACATTTACTGTAAAGGAATTGAATTTCCCTATTATGGATGTATCAGAGCTGCAATTTTTCTGATTTAAATTCATTCTACACAGTTAAATTTTTTTTGAGTGGATTTTCTAGTACTCTGTTGTTGTATGTAATGTTCATTTCTGCTATTTGGTTTTAATTGATAAAATGCTTATTTCTATTAGTAGAAATAGCATTAAATTATTTTCTTATATTAGGAACCTAATAGACCTTCTCAATATATGTGATTGTCGATAGAACTTTGTATATGTGGCCCTCAGCTTTCTACTCTTGATAACACTGACATTACTCATCTCTACTGTAACATACTTGGCAGCATTTCTGGCTCATGACTTAGAGAGTGCATTGAATTTCAGATTTTCTTCTCAAAAACCAGCTTGAGTAAACTTTTAAAATAATTGGTTGCATTTTTTAGCTGAGATAATCAACTGGTTAGAAGTAAGAGTGCAGAAGGACTGCTTTACTGAATTAGACTAGGTATTCTAGCTCCATGTGCATAAATTCTACTGGTTTTAAGAGTTGTTACGTATTTTTTGAGTGGAGAAAATGAAGGGCAACTTAGAAATATTATATTTTGATCAAATCACAAGTTATATGTTAAATTATTCAATTGTAATAAATTGATAAATTGCTACTTTTTGCATCTTTTTTCTTGGAGACATGAAAATACAGTATGTGATTTTACTTTTGTTCACTTCAGTTTCTCTTCAGTTTCAAGTTCATGTGTAATAAGTGGTTGTTGCAACTTTCCTGCAAGTGAAAATGCTGTAGTGTTTCTTTCAGTTAATGTAATGTATTCATGCAGAAAGTGTGTATGTGGACTTCCAGTGATGTTTTAAAAATGGAAGTCTGTAACCCTCTCCACTGTGGCTGTGCTGAGAAGTTTGGATCGCATTTGTGAAAGGTCTGGGACCATTGGCCCAAAGATGATTTGCTGGTTTTTTTAAGTGGCAAGGAAAAGAGGAAAAAGCTTCTACCTGGGACACTCTGTTGCTTTGACCAGGCTCCTTGCTGGAAGAGGCTGGAAAACAGTCGTGTATTTGTAAAAGAAATGCGTGACAGGGAACTCTCAACCAGAGTTGGCATTCTTGGTTCATTTTGATAAATAACACACTTGCTACTTCCCCTACAGAAATATATGTAAGGTTTTTTCTTTTATTTAAATTAGACTACCTTTAAGGATTTTTAAAAAATAGAATCTGAAATGGAAATGTAATTCTTGCTGTTGTCCAGAACACAAAGGACACAACGAATAACTGTGAGAATTAACTCTACTTTTGTTTTGTTTAATTTTTATTTAGTTTAGCATTTTATTTCATGTTCTATGGATATTTTCAGTGTAACTGTCATCCTTGAAATTATTAGTTGGCATAGATTTTTAAAATTTATTTTGTATATTCAGCCATTACAAACATAAAATAGTTTTAAAAATACGAAAAATAACTGGAGAGAAACAAGCAGTGTAAAACTGACAATTACCAATTCAATTCATATTTCTCGTTTAAAAATCAGTCTTGTGCTTTTTTTTCCCATTGCTTTTCCATTTCTTCCTAAAAAAGCAGTCAAAGTGAAGACAGTTTTCATATCAGAATGTGGCACTGTAACAACAATTTGTCTTATGTCTGAATTTCTTTTTGTCGTAACAACTGGTTGGCAGGGTGCATCGTTAAAATTCAAAAAATATTGTGTAGAAATTTCTGTAGAGGTGCAGTATGAACATGGATATAAGTAGCAGATGAAGGTTGCTAGGGGTTTTTTTGGGTTCTCAAAAGTGCAGGATTCATTTAAAGATAAAATGATCAGCTTAAACATGTAAGGGAGGGTTATATAGATTTCCTAATTAATGCATCTTGGAAAATAAACAAAAGCAAAATGCTTGTCATTTGGTACTAATGTGGTGGAATAGTGTGGCAGCAGGATCCCTGCTTTTCGCTCGGCCTCTCATAAAGATTCAACTTCACTTCAGCTGTAAAAATGTGCAAATTACATTACTACTACATGACTGACTTTTGTAATTACATTAAGCGATTGAGATAAATCCCAGTGCTGGGTTCCCAAAAGAATGCTTGCAGCTGTGTGATTTTCGCATCTGATCCTATGGTTTGTTGTACCCAGCAATGCCTGCCTTCCCCCCCCCTCCCCCCTTTTTTTTTTTTTAAAGGAGTCTGTTTGGTTAAGAGGTCATGTTGGACACAAGATGGAAGAATAAAGCAAGATTGCTTTCCAGGGTATACCACCCAGAAATTTGTTTTGTGGAAAAGGTTAGCAGGCCATGATGATTTCCACAGAAAGGCAGGTGCAGTATTGTCCGTGTGGCACACTTGTGAGCTTCACATGGACATAATGCACATGTAGTACACAGGAACCATGCTGAGACATTGCAATCTGTGTGTCTGCTCATTTGCTGGAGAAAACAAATTGTTTTGCAGTCTTCAAAGTGAATATTATGCGTATTTTCCTTTACAAAAGCCAAATTAGATGTCGGTGAAGACATAAGATTGCATAGTTTTTGTAGAGCAGTTAATTAAATTGGTTTGTGTGGCAATAGAATGGGAAGAAAGAATATATATTCTCAAATTTCTTAGTTAAATTTATTGTTGGGAAGGTCAAGCAGAGGAATGAGATTTCACTAGTAAGTTCAGCTGCCCAGATTTGCCAATAAATGAAAGTTAGAAACTTGATTTCTATTTTAATATATCTATTTCTGTTTTTATACATCTAGTAACAGATGTATAAAAATATATATAATTTTACAGTACAAGTAACAGTTGTTGACTTGTATGGAAAAACAAACAGTGTGATGAATAATTTTTCAGATTTGCATTCATCTGTGGGTATTAGCAGTTGACAAAGGATCACATTGAAAAAAATCGTATTATTTCATAAGTAATTTTTACTACATGTACATTGGAGTCACGTAGGACCATTCTGTATATTTAAAATTAACTAGCAAAGTAAAGCAGATTATATTGAGTCTCCAAATCTGAAATACACTTCAGCAAAAAGACATTTCTGTTATCGGTTTCTTTCTTTTCTGTTATCCTGTTTCTTTCAAATGTGCATACTTGTTAGGGGCTGTGGTTAATTATACACCTTGCAAAAGGATGAAAACTGAGTCACTGGTAAAAACTTTTTTTAGGCATTCTGTCATTTTTATTTACAAAGTCTTTCCTTCCCTGTCGATGTAGCTACTTCCTTGTAAAATGTAGCACAAATCATCTGAGTGCAGAGGATCAAAACCTGTGTCTTTAGTTTATAACATTTATAACATTGTGGCAGATTCAGTTTTTTGATCATTAATTTCATATGATTGTAACACTACAAGAGAAGTTGGGCTTTTAAAATGTAAAGCTAGTGACCATTTTAGAAGAAAACTGTGCTGTTTGTCTAAGGGTTAGAGTCTCGTTGTACAGTGTTGAACAAAAAAAAATCTAAATTTTTTAAATAAAAAAGGAGTGCCAGACAATTTAGTAGCATTTCATAATACAGCATGATGAGAACTTGGTAAAAGAAAGGCAGTCTATTAACCTTGCTTTTACTGTGAAGACCTTCAGCTGAAGTACCAGAGTTGTATTCAATAGAAAAGGCTTGACCTTGGAATAAAAGTGTGTATTCCTGGAACCCTCATTTTTAATTAAAAAAAAGTTGCATTGAAAAGATGAGCAAAAGTGCTTACTCTCCTAGCTGAAAGAAAAATTTGATGTCATTTATCTTCTTGTTTGCATACCATCTGCACCCCCAGGCACAGCTCAGTTTCAGCAAGGGCAGTACAGAAGTCCATGTGCACTACAAGTGTTTGAAATACTGGCAAAGCAAATGGGTAGGGAACACATGATAAATTTTCTGGACATCTTTTGCAAATGGATGTGTCAGCACTACGTGTGTTTGTACACCTGGTCCAGTAACTTGCTTTGCTTCGTGGAATGAATCATTGTCTGTGTTAACGCAGGGTTTAGGAATCTCAGTCAAGGGGCTGGTGCTGTGCAGCTGTGGGACAAAATCATGTTCCCTGCCTCTGGAGAGCTTATGAGATAAGAATACAAGTGAGCAGGAGTAGGCAAAAGAAAAGAAAGGCGAGAAAAGGGTGGTTTGCAGGCAAAAGCTGTAGCAGAGGATCAGTCTCTGACTGCTGTCCTCTTTCCCATGGGTCTGGTGGGAAGGGAGTTTTCTAACATGGGGGAGAGCAAGGTGATGGCTGTGTCTATGCACAAATGCTGCTGTCTGAGGGCTGAAGGAGTGAGTGCTGGAGGTGGATGTCATGGTGGGACCAGAGGCCTATGAAGAGTTGGTCAGTAGGGTGTGAAGAATTGTATGGAGAGCTGGGCAATGGGTCTTGGCAGAATGCTCAGGTAGGGTGTCTCTGCAGCCAGATACACTTTGTCAAGGGAAAAAGAGGTTGTGGTGGTCAAGGCACGACTTGGGTGAGAGTTTTCCTTATATGACTGGATTTGGAAGGCCCTCTCTGCAGCAAAACAGCAGAAAGAGCCCAACAGAGGGTAGAGTGAATGTGTGAGCCCCAGGCATAGTTCTGTTCCTGCTGTGGAGGGACAGGCCTGCCTGGGGCTGATGGCCACGCTACCTGAGAAGGGCAGAGAGGTTGAGGGTTACCATGTCAACTCTCTGAAAGATGTTATAATGAACTATGAACAGAATCTGGTCTATGAATTTAATTACTTCTGTGCTTTTCACCCACCTTGCTCTCACTAATGTTAATAAGGTCCTTTATAAGAAGTATTATTGCATGTGGATGGATGGCTTGGACTACTTCTTTTCTCCTGTTTGGCGAGGAGCCGAAGGTCCTTGTGGGCAGCAGCAGATGACAGCCATTTTGATGGAATCCTTTTGCAGGGATCCTTCTTGTGTCTATACTGGCTTAAAAGTCGCTTTTCGTATTCAAAAGCATGCCTGTTAAAATATTACAGGATTGCAAGACTGAGCCGGCAAGAGTCCATGAAACAGCTGTTCAGTGCAAAGTCACTTTAAAAAATTACATATTAGCCTTTTGATTAATAACATGCTTGTAGCCGTGGGTTAATCTTGCAGAAGGACCCTCCAGCCCCAATCTGTAGAAGTATTAGCTATCACAGTCATTACCAGCATGTCCTATTAAGACTGACCAACTCTTCACATGTCAAGTAAACATTCAGCTTCAGGCCTGTCTGTCATTTATCACTGAGCTGGGGACACTGAGCAGAGCTAAATTAAAAACTGCTGGCCCTCCTCTGGCTCTGTCTATGTCCTTAAAAATACCTGTCTTATAAGCAAGGCAGCAGATAATGTTTGTAATGTCAAAGCAAAACTTTTCTTTCAAGGTTTTTCACAGATAGAAAAAAAACTAGTACAATGTCATGTGGATTGTTTTTGTAAAATTATTAAAAAATGAAGAAGCAGTAATTAAAACCTTCTGAGTGAAAGGAGGTTCCTAGACTTCGATAACAACATCCAGGCCTTTTCCCATTTTACTGCTGCTTCTCCTTATCCCTATGCTAATTATCCAGCTTTGTGGTAATCGGATGTCTGGTTCTCATTTATTGTGTTTTATAATTGCGTATTCATCCAGCTCTTATCACAAAGCTGGATGCTTTGGCTCTGTTTTCCCTCCCTTAAATAATTTATATGTAAGGTTCAGCAAATGGAACCTTGCTACTTGTGTGAAGCTGCCATTTAACCATGAAGGGAAATGCTTTTATCGAGTTTGCCCTGCAGATATGGTCCGCTGTGGCAGTGCTGTCCATATTTGGTGGCTGTGCAAGGAGAGCCAGGTGGTGCTGCAAAGCATAGCACAGTGAAGCGTGGACAGATCTAGGTTTGACATTTGTCATCCTGTACTGCTAAAGGGAAGAGAAAAATCTGCTTTTCCATATGCTTATGCTTTAATTTTTGCCTGCAGTTTTGTCCAGATGGCCTTGTGAACATTGTTTACTTTAAGATGCTGTCCCAGATGTTTTTGAATGCCGATGGATAAATGCAACAACTCTGGTATACTAATACACAAATTATTTACACAATTTTGGTTTTATCCCCCCTCTTTTTTTTTCCTTTTTAACCATCTCTTCTCCCCAGCACTACTCTGCATGGCCCACTTCTCTGAGGGGAGAACATCTCCACTTATGTTATTAAACTTTTGAGAGTGAGCAATGCTTTTGAGTTGCAGATATTTGGAGCCCCTATTCCCCTGCTATGGTCATTCTGAAGTTCTGTGTGGGTGGATGAGCATGCCCCTTGTAAGCCTGCCAATTAAAAGGTGCTGCTGCATGTAGCCCATGAAACAGTGAGTATTTCAGGGTGTGAGCAGCTCGTTTGTCAATCGTTGCATTCAAAAACACTTTCCTTTTTCAAGAACTCAGTCTTTTACTTTGCCCTTGTACTGTCTTAATTTTCCATCCGAGTGGAGTAATTTAAAGCTCTGTAAGCAGTATTAACAAGAACATTTAAAAATGTTTTTAAACAGCAAAGCACCTCTAACTGTGTTTTGACAAACTCTGATACAATTTGTAAGAATAGTTATGCCTTGATGGCACTGTAGGGTGCAGGGAGACTGCTTTAGAAGCTTGTTGCCAGATACAACAGCTATTTTAATGACTTCTTTTTTATATAATTATATTTTTTCATCTTCTAAGCAAGAAGCTACCTAGGAGTGTACATAAAAGAACCTTTTGGCATGAGAATTTCATTAACGTAAATAGGTCTGTTAGTTATTTCTCAGGAACACTTTAATGAGACAATGTGAAACTCATTAGAACAAATATATGAATTCATATGTCAAGACAGAGATTGTAGCATCACAGTTCTTGGCATCTATTAAGTCCATAACTCGTTTACATTGACGTGCATTGTTAATCAATATTTAAGACACTGCAGATGTCAGTAATGTTCATATTTAGTTCTGCAACCATGACAATATGAAAGTTGCTAGTAGAATTCAAGACTAAATATTGTTATCTCAAGTCTTCCCATTACCTCTAGGCTACAAGTTAATGACTGTCTAACTTTACTGCCCCTTATCTATTTAAATAATAAGGGAAGTAGGGAATTATATGGGTGTTATACTGGTAGCATAGTTTTAAAAATTTTTGTTACTTGAAATTAAAACACTAGCATTGTATGTATGTGGGCTGTAGTAGCAAGTCCTCAGGCTGTGACAAAGGGAGGTGGGTTGAAGAGCAAATGTAGTATTTGAGCAAACTGATAATGACTCTAACTGGGGTGTTGACAAGGCAGTTCGAATGGAATGCAATAATTGATAAAGACTTGCAGCATTCAGGTGGTAACTTTTGGTTACCTCTCTTCAAATGCACCAAAAAGCAACCTTTGTGTGGTGTTTCTAATGTGTCTGATGAATGTATATCTCAACTGCCTGTTGTTAACAAGCTAACAGACCTCATTTTACTTTATTTATTACTTGCATAATTTTAGAAGTTACAGCTTTATGGGACAGTATGATTATTGTGGAAGGTTTTATTGGATGTACGTAGTTGTTGGGGGGGGGGGGGATTTGGGAATTTTTTCCCCCCAGGGCTTTAACTAGTGAGATTGCATAAAGCAGCATCTTAGAGTATCATCAAGGTATCTTTCCACATATGTTAAAATTGATAAACATAATCATGGAAGGACTACATTGATAAAACTATGCAATTCCATAGTCATATTAATCTATAGTTTAATTATAGGTTCATCAAAAATCTTACGTCTTCGTGAAGAAAACAGTGAAACAAGTGAAATACTAAAAGGAAAAAATTCTGGCAATGGTGCATCAATTCCAGTTAAAGGAATAAATAACTTAGGAAATACTTGCTTTTTTAATGCTGTCATGCAGGTAAGATGGAAAGATCATACCACTTTCTCTTCACAGATTTCAAAAATACTAAATCTGTATAATCAGTGGGCTTCAGAAAAGGTTCTGAGTTACTAGTCTTCATTCTGCTTTCTCAAGGTCCTTTTCAAATTCTTTTTACTCCTTGCTATCCCAGGATTATTTCCTGTTATAGCAAAAAAGAATTCTTGGATCAGTAGCATTTTGTACAGTAACGAGACAAGTGAAAAGGTCAAGTGTTTTACACACTGCATATGTGTGTGGGTTGTACTCTAGAATGTAGTTTTATTTGTAGTTCAGCATTAGCAGTTATGAGTAATGCAAGATATTTACTGTACTGGTGGTGTGAGTAGTGGTACTTTGTGTGTAATGTAAATGTCTGCACACTAAATTGTGATGATTTTAAGCCCCTACAATGGATGCAGTTACAAAATTACTTTTATTGATTATGATTTTTTCATAATAGAGTAAGAGGAATGAGCTATACTAATACACTTCTGTTGATGTTGAGTATACAACTAATCCAACATCCTCAAAAAAAGGCAGCAGCCTTCGCAGGTTTTATGTTGGACCATCCCATTGCTTGTCAGCTGAGCAGAGACATCTGTATGTCTGCAGACAGGAGTGAACAAATGAGGGAAAACTGCTATAAAGGTGTTCTGCGCTGGCACACTTTACCTTGTGTTTATAGTGTTGATTACAAAATTCAGTAAACAAATAGTAAAATTGTAAGGAGTAGATTTACTGCAGATTGTTATCTGTTAATACTTAGGGCATCATAGAGAATGGAGGGATCTGCAGTCAAAGGTAATAAAAAATAAAGAAACAACGTTGAGTTGGTTTCTCTCAGTTCAGGGAGGTAATGCTTTTCAGTGTGCCAAAGCCTTTGTGCTTTATGAGGCATGATGAGAGGGACTGCGGAGTTTAAAAACAGACAAATGATTTCTGATACTAATGTCCTCACCATAAAAAAATACATTAATGTTGTTCAACAAAAATAACAAAGTTATTACTAGGAAATGATTTTGAAATTACAGAAAAAGAAATAGATACAATTTTAGAAACAAGTCAGATCAGTGATTTTTCTAGCGCTTTTTCTAGTGGTCTGACCTAAACCTCAGTTATACATTATGAAATAGATCTGGTTTTGTCTATGCCTGAAGCTAGAATATGTAACTAAAGAAAACTGTGTAATTGAAAGATCAGCATGTTTCTTTTTTTTCTTTAAGAACTTGGCACAGACTCATGTACTAAATGAACTGATATATGAGATGAAGGAGAAAGGAACAAAGTTAAAAATCTGTCATGCTTCAGACTCCCAATTGGTAAGTATGTATTGAGAAATACAAATCTGGGAAACTCTGGGAAGAAGCTGGAGGACAGGGAGTCACATCTCTGTTAAAGACACACTGTTACTTTCCCATTTCTTTTGCCTTTTAATTGTTTAGCTGTTTTATGTTATCTGTGAACTCATTTCTTTTACAAAAATCATTATTCAACCCCAGAGGAGGAGGAATAATGACTTGCTTTCACGTGAAGTTATCAAATAATGCCTGACCTTAAGTAAGAGAGGCTGGCTTATTTTTGTTTGCCATTGAATTTCTTCAATATGAATGTATGATACAGGAAATAGTCTATTCGGCTCTAGAAAGTGTTAATAAAATATTTTATTCCAGTCTGTCCCAGCCATTGATAAGGCTTGTCAAATTTATTATGTGCTTCACAGGCTGGAGGACTAAAATGAGATAGGCAAAATTTCACTGAGGAAAAAATTTTTTGTCCTCGAGCTCATTGCAGGCATATGGGAGACTCCTGTGACTATTATCCAAAGAATATTCTGCTGTTCCTGTCATGTCTTAGAGACTTGGATTTTCGTATGTTGTTGGCAATAAAGATAATACCCCTTTTCCTCAGCTGGTTAAAGCAAACAGTTTACAGAAGATTTTTGTTTCTTTTTTTTCCTCTTTTGTTCTGCTCTTTGCTAGGAGCTTTCTGGTGGCAGTGAGGGTGGAGTGGTGGTATTCTGTTTCAGGTACCTCTGAAATGATGAAGATTTCTTGGCATTGCTGTAGGTGATGTTCATAGCCTGTATAGGCAAGAACAGTGTGAAATTCACTGCATTGCTGTCTTTATTTCCTCCAGTGGTAGTTCTCAGCAGCCACGTTTCACTAAGTTATCCTGAGCCACAATGGAGGTCTGGAGCTTGTTTGTGCCCAAAGGCTCAGAAAGCCAGTGAGATGTTGGCTTATGCTTGATGTGAAACTTGCACAGCCATAAAGTTGAAAGATTAATTTTTTGTTTAATGACAATGCTTACAATGTAAATAAGGTCTTTGGAACAAAGACTGTGTTTTCTGGTCTTTGTTTTTGTTGGTCAACTCAAAATTAGAGGGCTGCAGTAGTATAACTAATAGTAATGTAGAGATCTGAACCTTCCCACTTGGTAACGGGCACTTTTCCACTTTTTGGTAGTGTATATAAAGCAAATACTTTATATTTGTGTGTATCCATAGCGCTTACATTTTGTGTGGATCTGCTTTCTGGACGAGGCACTCTCTCTAATTGTTTGTCTGGCTGTTGTAATCTGTTTTTCTGAGAGTCAGGCCACCTAGTAGGGAGCACTGTGCTCATGTATGAACCTTGGAGCGTGTTAGGGAGAGCTGGTGGTCTGTGATCGCTGTGAACCACTGCTGGTGCCTTCACGGCACCTGGTTCTTGGAGGAACAGGGTGTGTTTCTGTGTCTGTTGGATGTGTGGAAATCTCAGTGTGTGGCTCACAGGTCAGAGAAGCTGGCCACCCTGTTCCTAAGGTTGAGTAACAGGGAGCCACTGAGCACCATCTTACACTGGCCCACAGAGATGGTCACTTGGGCTGTCTCTCCAACTGAGTTTCAGTGCCATGTGGGAGTAAGAGTAAAGCAGGTAATACAGGAAGGTAGTCTGTTTTTGTGAGAAACAGGCTGGCTCAATGACATACCTGTTTCCAAAACTATTGGTTACCACCAGTTTTCTCAACAAGAATTGTTTGGTTTTGCAACTATTACAGCTTAAACAATAAACTTTCTCTTCAGTAATTTCAATCATATAGGTGACATCAACATTTAAAAAACCCCACCCCAGAACACTCTTAAGACCAAAGTTACATTGCTCTTTATCATTAATGTAGTAACTTGAAAGAAGTCTTTGAAATCTGATGTGCATTTTACCTTTGTTTTGAAGGATCCTTTGGTGGTAAACCTTTCCAGCCCAGGACCTTTGACTTCAGCGATGTTCTTGTTCCTTCACAGTATGAGGGAGGCTGGAAAAGGTCCTCTTTCTCCCAAAGTGCTGTTCAGCCAGCTTTGTCAAAAGTATGTATTGTCAGTATCTTTTACTTATTTAATTTTAATTTTTACTGGTGTGTTTCTAAGTGTACTATGTCTTGTACTTTCTAAGGTGCTATTGGATTTTTACTGGGCAGTCCAGAAAATACTTTCTTCATATTTTAAAGCTGTGGGACTCCTTGTTGCACTCCAGGGTTGTACCTGCCCTTCATGTAATGTATGGTCCAGTTCCACTAATGTTTAGTGGGCTTTGAACTTAGTGTCAGGGGGCAGAAGAGGGCATGATAAAACTGAAGAAAATAGGTTTACCTTTCAGGTTTTGTTGTGTATTAGCATATTAGCATAAAGCTGTGCTAATACTGCAAAGTGTATGTAGGTATTTTGTAAAAAAGAGTAAGATTTTAAATGGGAAACCTCTGCAACGATGTCTAACCTTGGCATCAATTCAAAATTAAAAAGGATGTAACAAGTAAGGACTTGAAGCAGTACTGAAATGGCATATGGTTCCAGATTGCAGAGAGCTTACAAGCCCTAAAGAAAGTCCTGTTTCTTGGTGTGGAAAATGTTTACAGTGGTGCTTTGTAGGTGCTTTCAATTATGATGCAAACAGTCTTGCTTTTTAAAACACCTGTAGAAGACCTATTTAAAAGTTGATACAAATATTTAAATATTGACTTACAAGCAAAAGAAGCTGTAGAATCAGAGTAACTGGAGGATGGTATATCTGAATCTCACATTTAAAAAAGAATAATATTGCGTGTTAATTTATTTGCTTTGGTATTATTTATGGAACTGTAAGCGTTCTGCAGCAAGAGAATTAGGAAAGTTGCAGCCTCCTACCATGGCTTTCCAGGACAACCCTATTGGGCAATGGATTTAAAATACGGTATAAAGAAACAAAAGCTTCTAGATTAGAGCAGGGACAATTGAATTCTGTAAAGAAATAACTAATTGCCTTTTCTTTATTCTCAAAACTCAACTTCAGAAACTTAACATTATGTTTTTTTACCGTATTTGTCTTCCTTTTGATTCTTTTGAGCTATAAAAGAAAATGTGTATAAAGTGACCTTACAGCAATTTTGAATCAAACAGCAGTGTTCTCTCTTTAGCATTATCTACCTGGAAGAAAAATACATTGTTTTCTCACTACTCCTCCTCCTGTTTTGAGGCTGTCTCAAAAAAATGTGATTATAAGGATAAAATTTGGCTGAGAAATGGAAGGGAAATGATTAAATAACAACAGTAGTTTTTTTCCCAGTAAATGTTAAGGATAAAAGGGAAAAGATATAAAACATGTTTTGAAGCCCACCTTAGCAAATTCATTGTGAAGTAATCATGATGCACTGCACTTCAGATGGCATTGTATTTTTAAAGTGATATTTATTTTGTATCTGCTCTGTATCTGTTTGTGTAGTCATCAAGTGATGTGTAGCAGTATTAAATCTCAGCTATCTAGTTGTTCTTTTATTGTTGTTTTTTTGTTTTTAAGATGGGCATATACTTTAACTACCAGCTAAAACTGAAACATTTTAATGTGGGCAGTAGAATTTTGCTGTTTAGACATGTATCTGCCCACTTCTACCATCTCTTGCCTTCATTCCTACTTCTTACTTTTGTTATCCTTGCAGAACACAACATAGATATAAATCCTTCTCTAGCTCTACTGTCAATATCAAAAGTGTCAGCTGCATCCTGTTAGCAGGAAGTTAGGTGTTCGGGGTCAGATAAGAGGCTGGACAGGTATGACAGAAGGGTTTTTTTTTTTTATTGTTTTCTTATTGGTGGTGAGATAAACAAGAAAGAAGAAGGGGAGTTTACGCAAATTCAGCAGTCTGCAGTGGTAGAAGGAGAATGCAGTGTTCTGTCATGCCATGTTTACAAAGCCTTTTTTCATCTTTTAAAGTTGACTTTCTACTCTTCAGCAAAGCTGAAATGGAAAAGAGAGTGATTACAACAGTCCCAGCTAGGAAGAAGTCTGTGGTACTGCAGCATTCTCTGTAAAAACTGCTTCTTGAATCCTGCCAGAAAGTTGTGTTAATAAAGTCATCTTAGAGGCATGCACTACTTATGTTTTTCATATTGAATTAGCACAAACTCCTTCTATTCAGCAAGTAAAGTTCAAGCAAGTTTCCTACAGAAAAGACAGAGTGAATGTGTAAAAGGAAGAACTACACTGAAACAAAATGTTTGTATTTCAGAGAGAGATGTCAGAGAAAGACAGGTCTGTTAACTCCTGGGGAGGATGGCATGGGAAGGACTTAAAATAGCAGTGGGTTGCGTTTATATATTTTACATAAAAGTTTGCTGATTCTGGTTGCAATCTCATTTTTGGTCTTTTGTTGGTTTTGTTTGGTTGGTTGGTTTTGTTTGGTTTGGGTTTTTTTATTTTTTAATTTATTCTTTCCCCATCACAGATTCAAGTCTACAGTATTTGACCATACCTTTCTTCAGTACAGAATTTATGAAGCAGATTGTGCAGATAGTATAGGATAAACTCGTTTGTGATATCAGGAGTTGGACTCAGTGACCCAGGAATTGTCTTCCCAGTCCCAGCTTTTGCCATAACATTATTTTCAATAGTTACTTATAGCTTGCAAAACATGGCAGGGATGCACACATTGAGTGGTCATTCAGAATATAAGATGTTTTGCTCAGTACTTAGCATAGTCACTTCTAAATACTACTAGATTTCTTACAGATGTGAATGGTTGAAATGCTGAAGCTGTCAGCAGGTGATGGTATGCTGCTATTCTTTATATGCTTAGATCTACTTGTTAGGGTTGTTACAGTATGCTATCTAGTAAAAAAGTAACAGCAGTTTCCTATTTATGTTTTCCTCATGTGTAGCAGAAAGCTGATCCTGTGAAAATACTTACTTTTCTCTAATGACACAATTGGATTCTATATATAAAAAATATAAATTTTGATAAATTGGTATTGATGAGTTGTGATGGATTTTTGTTTTTTAATTTCCTAGCTGGATGGTGACATATTTTCATGTTGGGTCAGTTGATTCAAGATATAATAAAGGTAGCTGTATAATCTAACGCCTGACACTTGCCCTCATTTCCAGTTCAATGCTGGAATAATACTTCTGAATTTAATGTCTGGAGTTGCTTTTTTTAGATATCACTGTAAGATGTTAGGACTCAACCAGCTTCAGATGTTGCAGTATGCAAGAGTTTGAATGCTAACATCTGAACTGGGCATCCTTACTCAAAAATTGAAAAGTGCTCAGTGAAAGAAGACCTAAGAAGGCAGGCAGGAAGGAAAGCAGGAAGGAAGGGAGGGTTTAAAAGGAGCAGGCAAAGGCACATAGGAGTGAGGTTAGGTGTGGGCAGAGAGCCTGTAAAGAAAAGCCTTGTTCAGCTGCAGCTCTGGTATGTCATTTTGTGGGATCCCAAATCTCCAAGCGGATACATGTTCACTGCTCAAAAGCATAAGGGAACTGGAACACAGTCCTTTTCAACTGCAGACTGCTTCTTTAAGAGTCTGAGGAGATCATGGCATGAAGTTCATAGTCTTGTGTATGAAAGGGGATCTGTGGTGCTTTTTTTATTAAATATCAAAAGAAAAAAATTGATCCCGAGTGTTAATTTTATCAAGTGGTGGGGTAGCCAGGTTGAAGAAGGGGAGAAGAAAAGAAATGGATGAGTCTTTCTATAGCAACTGTTTAGCGTCTGGTACTAATTCATCCACTGTTAATTTTGTTAGTGTTGCAGCTGTCAGATGTTTTGCGAGGACAGATTGTGAGCATAGCTACGGGGCCCTTCTGTTGGTTTTCCACTATGCTGAATATCAGGACTGCAGACTTCTGACTTATCTGGAGACTTAGTAACTAATGCAACACTGATATATTAAGAGGATATAAATTTTATTTCCTTTATTTGTTATAACTGAATAATTTTATTGGTGGAAGAAAGCTTAGTTTTGTGGATCTAGTAAATGTTGCAGCATATAGGTGAGGAGTCCAGAAAAGTTACAGAATTTAGCTGCTTCAAACCTCCACCAAATAATTATCTATATGGGTATTATATTGCTACATTACCATGAAGGAAAAAATACTTCCCTAACAAAGAGTGTATTGGTGGTCACAGAATCTACATAGGTCTTACTTCCCCAAGGAGTATTCATCCTTCCTTCTCAGGTGCAGAAGGTAGAACTCAAGCCAGAGGTGGGACTGACAGAATGGAGGTCGTGCATGGTGAGGAGTGTTGATATTAATAGAACTATAGTTTTCAAGGGAAACCTAAACAATGCTTGGAGTATTCTACATATATCACTTCTGAGAGGAAATGCTAAGGAAAACTAAGGTAATGTTGTACAAGATATAAGGGGTGAAGGAAGCAGGATTTTTCTCATTAATTACAAGTCTTTGAGCCTTTTCTTTTAAAATAATATTGCTGTAGGGAAAATATCTTTTTAGAAAAGATTTTCAGCTTGCTTATTTTTGCCGTTTGACTTTTACCATTGAAAAATAATAACAGCAGAACACACAGTTGATGTTTCCTTGACCAATTGTTAAGAATTATTTTGTGTCTCTGTCAAGCCCTCCATGTCCCTTGCTGACAGTGCTGCGGCGTGTTCAGGACCTCTGACAGAGGAAATTACATCTTCTTCTCTGTGCAGCAGCAGTTGAGAGATTGCATATCTTTTTTTTCAGAAAACTTTGTCAGAGTTTTCATGATATTAGGAACAAGTTAACAAAGCTGGGTGGATGAAGTTTTTGAGAGCAAAGTAGACGAATTGCGTGTAAGAGTGTGCATTGGCAGAAATCATCTGCACATGTTCCTGAGTTTTCTGTTCACTTCCTTTACTCAGGGGGAAGACCTGTGCAGCATTGTGGAGAACACAAGTATTTGCAATGTGTGTGGTATTGGTGAGCTATGTAAGCAAAGCTGGTAGATCAAATGAAGGAGAAAACCAATGATTTCATTAGGTACATTGGAGGTGTATTCTCAGTGCAATGTTCATATTAACCAGAATTTAGGGAGAGGTAAGAAAAATAGGAAGCCTTGATGTCACTAGGGACTTGAATACTGGGAGGAGAGAACATGAAAACAAGGCATGACAGCAAGAGAAGACAGTAAATGATAGAAAATAAATTAGCTGTGCTTCTTTAACTGACCTCATTAGAGTTCAAGTAGCTGTCTGTGAAACTGAAAGGCAACAGACTTAGAGCCTGAGATTAAAAAAGGGGTTTTTTTTTAACATTTC